CATTGACTAGAAGATCCCCTAGCTTTGGAACAAATACTAAGAAATAACATAATTTTATTTAACAACTTTCCACTACTTTGATATTTGACAGGTTAACATAAACATATTTTCTGTTACAATTAGTGGCCGGTTGGGAACGATTTTCGCTTACTAATCAACATCATCAAAACAAATACTCGAAATGTAATCATATGTAAATTTCACTGAATCTCATTTAAATTCATCTATATTTAGCTTTAGATTCATTGCACAGAATTGCGTAACGTTGACAAGGCTACTCATGCTTTGTGTAGGTGTGTGGGATCACATGTCATTGACCACCGATCTGTCTGAAGAAGACCTCATACCTTTGTACATACGTGTACTTTTTGTCTGCCGGCCAGATAAGTCACAAAGCAGTTTTTTGTGAAAAGAAAACAAATTGACCCCCAGTAATAAAAAAATAAGTTTTGTCTTATAGTATATGATTTTCCAGCAATGTAAATTGCGCCGTTGTTAAATATACGGCTGTGCTACAACGGAGTGAATGTTATGTGTGCACAAGGCACTGCAAACTACCTTATTTTCGCTGTGGAGGTAACGCAGTCTGAGTGAAAATAGTTTTTTTCCTATATTTTACATTCATCTTATCACAAATTAATGGAAATAAACTCCTCACAAAGCAGCCAAATTATCTTTTCAGTGGAAAATTTACAATAGTAATCGACTTATCCAGGAAATCGTCAAATGACGTAAAACTCTAAACTACCCGTCGGATGGTATTGCTCGTATCAATGCCATAATTAACAATTTGTAGCGAAACATTTTAAGATGTTTTCGCTGTACATTATCTTGACCAAAACATAGCTCCCTTTGATCTCAATAATTAAAGAACGCCCGTTTCAAGCTCTAGGTGGTATTAGTTTGGCTCTGTGCCAATACAGAGTAAGTTCTTTTCATCAGGACAGTCAACGCTGTGTTTGTGAGCACATTTGCGTTGAGCCCTTTTGACATCAGTTTGACCAAATGAACCGGTGTATAAACGCCAACATGACCATTACTTGCTTGGCGTTTTACATAATATATATATATATATACCATGTGTAATTAAATACTTGTTGGCGAATTACCCTTAACATTGAGAAATTATTGGTCATATTTTCGTTTACAAATCGATGTTGGTTCATACGATTTTTGTTATTCGTGTGAGCATTGTACAAGATTCACGATTTTGTAATTTGTTTTTTTTTCACGTTTTTATACCAGACTGGACATACTAACATAGAGACATTACTTATAGTTGACGTGTCTTTTGATGCGTCAATTTAATTTGATATTCGAGATCACTGGGAATACATTACAGTACCATGATCTCACATGCTTAGTGGATTACTGGGGCCCTGTGCAATATGCTTATTGCTGGGATTTTCCACTTCGTTTGTAAGGTAACATGATGTTTACTGCCACAACATATAATTATGGTCTGCCCACGTCTTTCATTGCCTAATTGATACAGTCAAACGGGGACTATGTCATTGAGAATAATTTAAATACATGAAATCTCTTATTCAAACTTAGATGAATTATTGTGGTTAATTAAAACAAAATAAATTTCATCTGGTGGAGTGTTTGGCAAATTAAAACAAGTTATACTCCTGTGTTTTGCACGATTTTATTTTTAAGGAAGCTTGGATGAAGTAGATATATGAATTATTTGTAAATAATCGGTGTTTGGCTGTTGCAATCAATACAGAATGAGTGAATAGTGTGGGTGACCCCCAGGGGAGGTCACACATTATAGGGACGTGTTATATTATAGTGGGGTCGTACATTTTAGCTGTTTGTCTAGAATGGGGTATAGATTTGCTTGCCTTTAGGTCTAATATCAGGTTTGCCTGTCTAGGATGGGGCCGGGGTATGGCGTCTGTTTTTTTAATTTCCATGTATTTACCTGAGTTTTAGTACTTTTATTGATGAGTCCGGGTGACGAGTATAACTGAAACAATTTAGTGACAATTTGGTCTCTGATGGGATATACAAAATCACTATTTGGTCTATAATGTGGTATGGTTTTTGAGGTGAAAATGAGGTGTCTATGATGGGGTCTGGTGGTTTACTAGTACTTCCCGGCCGCACACCCCTACAAAAGTGAAAGGCCAGTGACCCCCGGGGGTAACACTACCTCAAGATCTACTCAGTTGAAAACTAAAGATCAGTGGGGTATGTGTAAACAGATCTTTCACTAGAAGGTAAATGTGATTGATTTTAAGTGCACATAATTTGAACGTTTGACCACAACATTTTAAGAGAAAGATAATACTATATTATCACTGTAATATAAAATTATATTTGCATGCACGAATATAAAAAAACACAGTCACTGTATTTTGCAGTCCGCTAAAAACCAAAGACCTTAGACAACATGGACTTTGTCCAACCATGGAGGTAGAAAAGAGAAGGAGCACTGACGGAAAATAGGCCAATTGTTTATTGCTAAGTTAAGCTCCTAATCCCTTTGTGCACCTGTCGTTTGAACTCGATGATAGTTGGCGATTGTTTAAACGAGTGTACTGATCGTAATATTCAGATTACACAGAAAAAATGTTCCAATGAAATATTAAATCAGTTGCGCAGACCATAAATGAGGTCGTTACTCATGCGCAGTGAGCTTTGTTGAAAACATGAGGTCACCATTCACACTACACACCGGAAACTAGACACATGGACATTTAATCCCGTTTGTAGTTCAAGATTGTCTATTACTTATGCTCTCTGACGAGTCAGCTTTTGAAACACTTTATTTATATGATCCACAGAATACCGCAAAAATATTTTTCTTTTTTTACGCCGATGGTCCAACGTAGGTTATAATCTTCAGTACAGATAATCTCCTTAATTCTTATAACTGGCAGATTTATGTTATGATAACAGTTTTAGTTGTTATCTTTTTACAGTTGGTATAAAAGTGTTTTTTTCACTATGGGTTTTTTTTCCTAGGGTTTTTTTTTCCTAGGTTTTTTTTTTCTAAGGTTTTTTTTTCCTACACTCATCTTTGATTAGTCATACCATGTCAATATTCATATGCATCACAGTTTAACGGGTTGTCTAGGCTATATCCATTTATAATGATACATAAGTTTGACCGGTCATTGTTTACTTTTAGACAGTTTTATTTTCTTGTAGAGAAAACTTCCTTTTTTTATACTTTTATGCTCTTATCGCTATTTTTTGGTTTCACTCGTACTAATAGAATGGACTGAGTCATTCGGTTTTGATAAAATGTAATTATTCTGATTATATTCTAATTTGGCTCAAAGTGTGTAGCTACACAAACCCTAGCCAGCCGTGTTTGGCTGATGGAACAGGAGAGGATGCAACATAGATGTTGACATGGTTTTGTTATCCGCCACCCAAAGTGTAATTATAAAAGTACATGAAAGGGATACCTACAGTTGTACGCGTGTTGCACATCTGTTTTCTAAGCTCTGTGCTAAAATCAGACACAGCTCAATGCAACAGGACACATTTCCATGCCATGTAGATTGTTCTTCGAAATGCTATTGTTTATAACAGTATTACTGCGCAGTATCTTCAATGCGTTCCTTTAAGTCTTGGCTTTATAAAACATCACATAGAACATGTCCGAGATACAGGCGTCGACAGACGTGTATATGTAAAATTATAATTCTCCCGTTTTCAAAACTATTACTGTTTTATTTTGTTTCTGAAATGGCATATATTATAGTAAGTTAGAAAGGAACACATTTTCAACCACTTTATTGTAAAAAAGTATAACTTTTTCAACACACGAGTTACACTTTACAGCGGTGTTGAATTGACAATTTATAATTGATTGGCTAAGCAGTTAGGGCCACGGTCATAGGCCAAAGAGCAAAGGTCTGTGCAAAATGTAAATCTATTTTTAAAAGTGAAGTGTAATTCCAAACCCATAAATTGCATTTCGATTAACATTAACTTATGCTGTTTAAGATTGTTGTTATTGACACTGCAACAAATAAATAAAACAAATAAAATGAACAAATGAAATATAAGAGCAACACAAAAACACGACATCTTTAACGGGGGAATAAATCAGACCACAGTTGGAAAATTGCCAAATCCTTGCCACCTGATATCCGAACACCCACAGACAACCGAACATTGTCTTTTTACTTAAATTTGAAAGTCGATATTTTTCTTGTGGTGTGTGTGCTTTTTGGCCAGGAAACAGTCGCTTATCTGACAAAAACATTTGTTTACCTAAATCTTTCTCTAGAACAATTTTAATATTAAAGTTTTGTCAGCATTTTAGTAATTTCATCTTTAAGTTAGCTTATTATTTTGTAAATCTGTGTTAGCATTTTAGTGATTTTATTTTAGTTTATTACTTTTAATACTTTATTATGTGTATTTTAGTGATCATTTCCTTTCCCCCTCGGGAAATAATATGAGTCAATAAAGTTATTGTTATTGTTGGTAGAGTGACTGGGCCAGCCTCGATTGTTTTGTTTTCCTACGTTTGGTCGCGCCTAAAATAACTCGCTCCAACGTTTTATAAGCCCTATCAGCCACGGCTGGGCGGTATAACGGAAACAGGCGACAAAATACTTATGGTGAACTCTAAGTAAAAACCGTGACTAGAATTGGTGTCGTCGCACAGTACGTGTTTTCATTTCATATAAATAAACACGCGTTGTGAACGTTGCTATGAGTCCCATATCGAACAGGACGCGGTGCGACGACCACCATTTAAGGGTAGATTGTTATTCATTGTGATTGAGGTAATTGCAAAAATGAAACATACAAAACAAAAGTTATCCGGAAAATACAATCTGACATTGGAACCTATCCATCAATATAAATAATGGCCCATCCCCCACCTCCACGCCGTGAAAAATACGAAAACCATACATGTGGTAAAAATCAGTATTTGCATAAAAAACAACTAACTGAAATCCCATTTATACAATGTTATCAATGTCGTTGTGTATTTTTTTCACAGGAACTGATCTGCAAAAGAAATGCCTCTCTATCAGAGGTGCGTCGTCTCTGGAATCGTGTCTCTGGCCGTTATAACAACATGCTGCTGTGCGATCCTTCTTAATGTGGAACAATTGAAGGAAGAGCTGTTTAATTTAACGAACAATGGACTCGGTGTACAAGCAATGCAGGTACGTAACACCATGGAAGGTAGCCATGGTAACACCATGCGACACTGATAATACATTTTGATGTCGTCACGCCTAGTGCACATATTTTGTCTTCGGCCACGCTTTTACGCTTTAGATTTAAAAACGACATCTCATGATATGTCCTCATGTAGAATAAATTAAATTCCATTTATTGTTATCTATGTATTTAAATCTACAAATACACATAATCAACGAAAGCAACAGTAGCTACGCCGTTAGAGAGCGCTGTTACTATACCGGATACTCGAAATAGCCGTGTTTAGTGTACAGATACTTATATGAACATTTCGCTCGCAGCAAATTAAATCCCCCTTTTATAAACAGTCTCTATACATTTTCTGTCGACGCACAGGAACATTTTGATCAGCTATATTTTAGTCCGGAACCTCTGGATGGAGAAGACATTGTGGAAAAGGTGAGCACTTATAGTTTTGACGTTGAGGGCGGTTAACGATTTCGACGCTCTGAACTGTCTGAACTAAACGCTTTGTCACTAGATGGCGAGATTGATAGAAAAAATTTTTCAGATTGTGCAAATACTACACGAATCGTATTACTGTCAAACCATTTATTTTCGCATTTAATTTTACTATTGTGATGCTTTGAGCAAATTCACTTGGTTTTAAGTTCACGAACTTGAGTTATATTGTTGTTTTACTTGTTCACTTGGATTTTACGTGTTACGAAAATAGTGAAATAGAAACAAATTAATATATTGTCATTGGAGATAATGCAAAAAATGCAATGATATTGGGAGTTAAATCAACTCCAAGAAACAACATACAAATTTTCAAGGAATATCTGTTTCTCGAAATATTGTCTTCACTAAAACTACTTGTTATTTTTCAACATTCTAAAGATGGCATCGAATCACGATATTGAAATATGTCACGATATATCATGGTAAAGTCTGGTTATAATTCCCAGAACACACAATCAGCCTTTTTTTTGTGTTTATTGACAGATGAAAGAAGCACTGACAGAAAAAGTGATAGAAACTGTCCAGGCACTTGAGAACATCAAGGACGCAGTCCAGCAATCTTTCTTACAGGACGAAATCGATTTCATTCAGTGTTGTGAAATGACTTACGAAATGGAATTTCACCAGTTATTCGGCAAGGAGGTAAGTATGCAATCTAATATTCATATGCATAATAAATTGTATGCAAATAAAAAGGTCATCAAAAGAACTACCGACAGATAATCAGGGTTTGTGAGCGAAGATCTTTCTTTATTAAAAATTATAAATCGAAAAGTGATATTTTTCTCCATACTAAATTTGAAAAGCGAGGTGGATGTTCTCAAAACTGAAATGAGCACAAACTTGATTGTGACTTCACAGACTGTCCGTCTGTATTATCTCAACATAACATATCCAATTGCAAACGTCAGATCACACATGTCTTTCAACAATAACGGATTCGAAAAAAAGCAACAACAATACAATACAATGGAACCATCTCGGAAAATATGCTGATTTGCTGGTTGACTCAAAATCACCCTGGAGAGAGAGAAGGGGGTTAAACATTATTCTGTTGCCCTTATAAACAATCGCTAGAGTGTTTAATAAATTATTGTACTTATAAAATAAAAAACACATCCATATATAAATTACACGAATTGTCCACCCCCATGAAGCGAATCAATTATTGGTATGTCAAAAAAAACATTACACGTCGAATACGTCTTTTCCACAGCTTGATCCAGAGATAGGTTGTATACGAATCGCCGACACCGCTGCACCTGGTGCCAGACGTCTCTCCAATCAAGTCATCGATGTGATGAAACAGAATTATAACAATATGCCTAATTTGAAATGGCAGTATTTCGGCAGCGAAGAAGGGATTTTCTCCATATATCCTGCCTCCATTGTAGACGACTGTTTTAATTATGATCACAGATACAGGTGATATCAGTATTACAATAACATTATCTTAAGGTAGCGAGACTATTATTTGTGTTGAAAATTACGATTTTCACATTTATTTATTAATTGATGAAATGCACCATAAACTTTCATATGATAAAGTCAATATAAAATAGAATGTCATGTAAGTTGGTTAAAATATAGATTTTCTGAAGGGAAGCAAGGCAGCCTCAGTAGTGTTTTCCAAAATCAACAACACAGGTTTAATCTGTGTGCCTATAAGTTTCAAAGATAAACTCAAAGATAAACGTTTTCTAGGAGTTTATGTTTTTCAAAATACAAGGTCTTTAACAAAAAATAACGTATACTTATTGTCGTCGGATTAACACCAAATTTTCACAGCTTTAAGGTGACAATGAGAGGAACTTGAATGTGTCCAGACAAACTATTTCATCGATTATTTACCAACGAGTTGTGGTTTGAGTTGGGGGCAATGCGACTAAAACAGTAATTGAAATTCAGGACACTATTTTTTAAAACGCGTTGCTTGAATAAAACTAACCAGACACATTCAATTTACCAGACTATTGAACAACTAGGAAAAGTGAAAAAATACTTCTTATCGCCAGCATAAATGCGTAATTATTTTTTTTACAGAAAAAGTAATTTTTCACCTTTGATTGAGTAACGCGTCGTAGATTGCAGATACGGGCATGCAAAATACACTTGTGAAAAGCTTGAAGTCTGGCGATTCTAAAAATATATACTTTCCCGGGTCTATTTGTAGTCATTTAGCTACAATTAGAAGATGAAAACAAGTATGCAAATAATAGTCCCGCTACCTTAAATTGAAATCATTAATGATTATTTCGCAATGGCTAGTTTAATATTATCAAATTATGGTCGGTGTAAGATCGGTCGAGTTCAAATCATACTCAAGCCTGAACGCCATAAAGTGGACTATCAGCGCCAAAAACCAATGACCGAATACTATTTAACTTACGGGTGTGACTTTGAGGTCCTCCGGTGTTTTAGCTATAGGTCAATAGCTCTTCTTGTGTCGGTCTCTAATCTGTGTGATGTCAGTTTTGTAATTTAACATCAAATGTATCAAAAATAAACGATTAGAATACCAATCACAATAACTAAAGACCGGCACAGATGATGATAGTGAAATATACATACATTCTCAGACCATGGTACGTAGAAGCAGCAACACCAGAACCAAAGAATGTAGTCATCGTGATAGACACCAGTGCGTCAATGGAAGAGGAGACAAACGGGAAAACATTGATGCAGATTGCTATCGATGCCGCCATCACTGTGTTGGACACCATGAATCCCAGTGATAAGGTGTGTATAGCGAACTGACACCAGAAGCATGAACAGAGCACGTGTCTCTCATGCCAATCTCAATCTACTGAATATTTATTATGTCGAAAAACACACATCATGAATTATTAATTGACAGGTCGGTGTCGTGAGTTTCTCAGACACGGTTTTTGTCCCTGGAGGTTTTGAAGACACGGATTGCTACAAACAGGAACTGGCAAAGGCAACTTTGGTCAACATTGAAAATTTGAAAGAATTTGTTTCAAATTTGAGATCCATTGGTGAGTGCATGTTACAGCGATGTTCCGACTGATAAACAAATGAATATTGCATGTGAAATCAATCAATTTGCGAAATAGCTTATATCTCATTAGTCATTGTAAAAATATGAAAGTTGTTACGTATTTCAAATAATTGAACGTTCTTTGCTTTTTAGTCCACGCTGTTCCCATATTCTATTAGTACGAGATGGCTGCCATTAAAACAATTGATTCGATTTCTTTGAATTTTGCAATTATACTGCTTTGTGTATGTCTAATACAATGTTCGTACTTGGTGTTTCTCAGGTGGAACAAAATATGGGATAGCTTTCACGACAGCATTCGATTTATTGAGATCATCCTGGTTGGAAGAAGAACACAAAAGAGGTGAGCGAACCATAACCGACAGACTGCTAGTATATTAGTTATTATTGTTCCGAAAGGCCGCGCATAAATTGGTGTTTTGTGATGAATTTGTTTACGCGTATCCGTTAATCGACTTATTTAGCTGATTACTAGCGAATGACTGTGTTATGTCTGTCATCGTTTAGGCTCATGCGAGGTCCTGGATGGAACTCGACTCAGTGATTTGGAACTAATTACGATATAACCGTCGCTATTCGGACTACTATTTCTGACACTTGACGCAATGATCCCGGGACCCGCCGTAGGCGGCAGTATTTTCATTCGAGGTCAATTTTGGATCACCAGGTCATTCCTAAACGCGTAATTAGGACTGAGTCGAGAATCAATTTTGGGTGCCAGAAATCATCCAAAGACGTTTATTTGGGTATAATTTGCGCTGTCAAGACAAAGTTCAGGCTAATAAAATAAGATTGACGACGTTTTCCCATGAGAAAAAAGTGAATTATTTGTTGAAAAAGGCGGAGAAAAATTGATACGCAGAAATCGTGACGTTGACTCTACGCATACAATGCAGCGTCATGGAAATTGTCTACAGTACACGTACACGCATCTTTCGATGACGTGATTATTTTGCCAGCCAGCCCAGGACGCCGTACAGACATTGTACTAAGGTAAGAGCCTTTGCCCTTTTCCACACATTTTAATATATTCTTAACAATTGCTTTACCTCTAAAACTCTGCACACCATGCTATGATCATTCAGTGTTTTGTACTAACGACTCATCGCTTAGCAA